AGTAGTCAAACATTGTCCGGGGACCTTCGATTTTTTCCCCATATCCTAAGATGGGGTTCTTGTTATTACTTGGACGCCTCCTACTCCTCCTCCTTCCTCCTCTTTCCTCCTCCCCTCCTCATACTCAGACTTACTCATACTCAGACTTACTCATACTCAGAACTTTCTCATACACAGACCTACTCATACCCAGACTTACTCATACACAGACTTACTCATACACAGACTTACTCATACTCAGGCATACTCATACTCAGACCTACTCATACTCAGACTTACTCAACACACATCAGATTTGGAGGATGTATCAAGCGGGGCGCTGGTTTCAGCACCCCTAAGGGGAGCCGCCAGGGGTGGTTGCACGGGCTCGTTCGCGGCCATTTTGTGGGGATGTCTCAGGTTGTTTGCTTGTTTCTGTGCCCAACATCGTTCGCTTGGAGAGCAGATTGTGAGGATGTCTCAGGCGGGGCGCTGGTTTCAGCACCCCTAAGGTGAGCCGCCAGGGGTGGTTGCACGGGCTCGTTCGCGGCCATTTTGTGGGGATGTCTCAGGCGGTTTGCTTGTTTCTGGGCCCAAAATCCTTCGCTTTCGGAGCAGATTTGGAGGATGTCTCGAGCGAGGCGCTAATTTTCACCCCCCAGGTGGGCCAGATTTTGAGGATGTCTCGATCGGTTTGCTTGTTTTGGTGGCCAGGCTCGTGGCCCTAAGGGGAGCCGCCAGGGGTGTTTGCACGGGCTCGTTCGCGGCCATTTTGTGGGGATGTCTCAGGCGGTTTGCTTGTTTCTGGGCTCAACATCCTTCGCTTTCGGAGCAGATTTGGAGGATGTCTCGAGCGTGGCGCTCATTTTCACCCCCCAGGTGGGCCAGATTTTGAGGATGTCTCGATCGGTTTGCTTGTTTTGGTGGCCAGGCTCGTGGCCCTAAGGGGAGCCGCCAGGGGTGGTTGCACGGGCTCGTTCGCGGCCATTTTGTGGGGATGTCTCAGGCGGTTTGCCTGTTTCTGTGCCCAACATCTTTCGCTTTCGGAGCAGATTTGGAGGATGTCTCGAGCGAGGCGCTCATTTTCACCCCCCAGGTGGGCCAGATTTTGAGGACGTCTCGATCGGTTTGCCTGTTTTGGTGGCCAGGCTCGTGGGCGCAGATTCTTCTCAGGATGCCACAGGAGGCTCCAACAGGCTCCAGGAGGCCCCAGGAGACCACATGAGGTCCCAGGAGGCATCAGGAGGCCATAGAAAGATTCAAGAGGCCACAGGATGTCCCAAGAGGCTCCAGGATGCCCCAGGAAGCTCCAGAAGGCCTCCGGAAACCACAGGTGGCCCCAGGAGGCAACAGGAAGTGCCAGGAGGCCTCGGAAGGCAACAGGAGGCCCCGAGAGGCCCCAGGAGCAGTAGGCCTCAGAAGGCAACAGGAGTGGCTCCAATCCCATGTGTTTTACGTATGCTCCTATCGATTGGGCCTCACCTGGAGCACGATTCTTTGATGTTCTACGTATGTTTCTATATATTGTCCTTCTCCTGTGTAAGCAATCCTAATTGTTTTACTTTTGTTCCTATATACTGGGCCTCTCCTGGGGCACGAGTCCTTGGTGTTTTACGTGTGTTCCTGTAGACCCATATACAATATTACCTTTAAAAAAGGATGCACATATGGGGAGCTCCACGCAGTGAGTAATTTTGTTTCTGTTGGAGTATATGTTGACTATTTTTGGCTGTTCTTCCAAAATCCGCCTGTAGTGGGACATGCCCGACCTCAGGGAAGGGGGCAGGTGGGACCTCTGAGGCCGCGCACTGGTGAAACTCGCATCGCTGACGTATGGGGGGGATTTTGGGATGCTTCTGTTAGGTGTCATATGCAAAGCTCGCTGGCTGGAGCTCGTGGGCACACGCGGCATCGAGTTAGATTGTTTGGCAGGGGAATGGGAGTAGTTTTATGCAGCACGCTTGGCGATGAACGCACGACGTCTCGTGCAACCGTTCCATATTTGACTTGTTTTTGGCCCGATCCCACATCGAGTGGCCTTCGCAGAAGGCCTGCGCGCCACTAGCGCGCCAGCCTCCCTTGCAGGGACGCCTGCTTCCCGGCGGCGGCTGCTTCTCTCTCTCTCTCTCTCTCTTTCTCTCTCTCTCTCTGTGGGCTCTGGAGGCCTCTGGAGGACCTGCGGAGGGCCTCGGCGACCCCAGGAGGGCTGCCCAACGCATCAAGGTGATCAGGCAGGGCTGCTCGCGGTCCGATTCCATCCTGTCTCATTCCCACATCTCGATTCCGATCCCGATCCGATCCGATCCATCATGGACTGATCCCGCCTCTTGGTCCGCAGGGGTCGCGTTCTGTCTGCGATCCCAGGCGGTCCGATCCCGATCCGATTCCGCGACGTTTCTAGGCGCGCTCCGATCCGCTTTCAAGCCGACCCGATCTTTGGAGGGCACCAGCTGCACGTAGTTGCACCGATCCTGGCCAGGCCGATATTGGGCCCGCCTTCCCGACCCGCCTGCTGGGGTCTGCCCACCCAATCTGCGCGTTTGGTTCTGCCACGTGTTTTCTGCTCCTAGCCCCTCTGAGAATCTCTCCCGTGGTCCATCCTCCTCCCTCCCCCTTCCATCCGTCCTCTCCTCCCCTGCTTGAAGGGCTGCACTCAACCGGCCCCAGCCCGGGCCCCTGCCTTGGCCCCAGCCTCGGCCCCAGGGGCCCCAGCCCCTGCCCTGGCTCTGGCCCCGGCCCCAGCCCGCCCTGGCCCAGCTCTGGTCCCAGCCCAGCGAAACAGATTCTGCCCCGCCCCCTCCCTTTTCCCCGGGCAGAGCCACCCTGGCAACCCCCTCAGCAGAGCTGAAGCTCAGGCTGAGCTCTTTTATCTCACACGCCGGATCGGCGGATATCGAGGTGACACTATCCATTTATCGATGATGTCACTAGCGTCAGGAGGTCTTTAGTTTTGAGCCCCCCCCTGTTTCTCTAGGCGGGGAACCAACTCGCCCCTCCTCCTCCTGCTCTTCCTCCTCCTTCCGCCCCTTCTCCTCCTCCTCCTCCTCCTCCTCCTCCTCCTCCTCTTGCTCCTCTTCTTCCTCGTCCTTCTCACCTCATTCCTCCTCGTGATTGCAACCGTGACTGTAATCGCGATTGTAGTCTTGATTGCAGTCGTGATCGTAGTCGTGTTTGAAGTCGTAGTCGTAGTCGTAATCGGAGTCGAAATCGTAGTCGTCACGTCGTCGTCATCGTCGTCGTCGTCGTGCAGCGGGTGCAGCGGGTGCCGCGGATAAGTAGCTGTCCGTCAATAAGGTCGCCGAAGAGGTTCTTAGTTTCCAGCTACTTGGGTGGGTCTAAAGACCAATTGATGTGTCGATCGTTCTATCTATCCATATATAGGGATCTAGATTAGATATCGCTATGTGTCCGCCGATCTCACGATCAACGATATATGTATTCCTCGGCCTCACCATCGATCTGTCGATCTCACTATCAATGAACCGACCTACCATCGGGACAACCGTCAGGACAATTATCGGGACAACCATCGGGACAACCGTCGGGTCAACCATCGGCACAACCATCGGCACAGCCATCGGGACAACCATCGGGACAACCGTTGGGACAACCGTCGAAACAACCATCGGGACAACCATCGGGACAACCATCGGGACACCCGTCGAAACAACTATCGGGACAACCACGGACAACCAAAGGATAACGACGGGACAACCACGGGACAACCTCTGGACAACCGCTGGACAACCGCGGGCCCCAAACCGCCACCCGGACGGGAGGAGCGTCTTCTGCTCTCACCCGCGCACGCGGCTTCGCGCCTTGCCCGAACGCAAGGCACGAGCGCGAGATCGAAGCCTATTCCCGGAGGTCTCCGCTTCACTTTGGTCTCACTTCTAATCTCTGGTAGGAGGAGACGGAGGAGCATGCTTGGTGGCGAGCGCGCTGTCTGGCCATGCCGCCAGGGTAACGACACAATGTCAGATGTCAGCACTGTTCGTGCGGTGTGAGCGTCTTCCTCCAGGGGGGGTGCGTGATACAAGCGTGTCCTTCTGCGTCCCGCGGGCGTCTCCAGATGATTCGCGTGGGGTCAATCCAGACAAGTCGAGGCAGCTTTGCGCGAGCCGAGACGGGTCGAGGTAGACCCAGGGATGCCCGTATGAGTCTGGAGAAGCCGTGGAAACTCCAGCGCGAGTCGAGGGACAGCAGGCGTCGTGAAGCGCTGGGCAAGAGTGGGGTCGTGTCCTCCAGCCTGGCCTCCTCCTGCTCCTTCATTTTCTCCTCCATCGATCTCCAGCCCTGTCCCCAGAACCCTTTCTTTTGACGTTGCGCTAACTCAAGGTCAGAGCCTGAAGCGTTAGGATTCAAAAGAGATCGCCGACTTATGCGGAGTGAGCCACACATCACACCTGGCTGGCACAGCCACTGGTCAGGCAATGAGAACAAGCAAAGAAGAGGGCCCTCATGGGCACATAATATGCGCCAGCCAGGCGGTGTGAGAGGAGGAGGGACCGATCGAAATGCAGAATCCAATAACCTGATCAGGAGGAGGAATACGTCCTCCTCCTCCTCCCCCTTCTTTTCCTGCTCCTCTCTTTCTCGTCCTCTCTCATCCTCCTCATCCTTTCCGGCAGCCCGCGCAGTGCGCGCTCCAGCCCGGGCAGGCGCTCCGCACTCCTCCTCCTCCGCCACCTCCTCCTCCTCCTCCTCCTCCTCCTCCTCCTTCTCCTCCTCCTCCTCCTCCTCCTCCTCCTCCTCCTCCTCTCTCTCTCTCCTCCTCCTCCTCCTCCTCCTCCTCCTCCTCTTCCTCTTCTCCTCCTTCCGCCTCCTCCGCTCTTTCCTCCCTCCTCCTCCGCCTCCTCCTCCTCCTCCCCTCCTCCACCTCCTCCCTCCTCCTTCCTTCTCCTCCTCCCTCCTACCCTCTCCTCCTCCTCCTCCTCTCCTCTCTCCCGCCTTCTCCTCATCCTCCTCCTCCTCCTCCTCCTCCTCCTCCTCCTCCTCCTCTCCTCCTCCCCTTCCTCCGTAGCCAGTTTGGCTCAAGCCAGCCTCAAGCCCCCTGGTCGACATTTTCCCCCGCGCATTGCCGGCCCGGAGTGTGGCGCTGCAGGGGACTGGAGAGCTTGAGATGGTGCGGGCGGAGTCGCCTGACGGTGATTCTGGGTGGTATCGGAGGTCACGTGCCGCCCGTACGGCGGTCCAGCAGCGGGCGCTGGCGGCGGCAGACGCTGGACTGGCGGCGGCCCATCACAAGCTCCGTGACCTCGAGGAGCGGCTCGCGGTGCAAGTTCGCGAGAACGACAGGTTGCGCAGTGTGTTATTCGGCGGGGAGTCTGATGACCTGCGAGGAGACGAGCTTCGCCGACGGTGGAGGAGCATCGAATCAGTCCTGCGGGCACAGCTGCAAGCCCGAGATGGAGTACTGGAGGCTCCTCTGACCGACGCCGACATCCTTCTCCGTAACCTCGCCGAGCATTCTGCGCAGGCACCAGGCCCCGAGGTCCGCTGCCAGGAGCTGAGGAGCCTCCAGAAGTCCGCGCGCCTGGCACCTCCTTTCGCGCTCGCGGATCGGCTACTGGAGCCTCAGGAGCAATTGCCAAATGGCGTGGAGCCGAGCTTCGGGAACCCTGGAGCTGATGTTCTGGCCGCTCATGCTGTTCCTGGGCTTGACGGCCGTGGAGGTTTTCAATTTCAGTTTCGCTTTGAAGCTCCTGCCCTCGTTCCTGGTGCGGGCAGCTGGGCGAGGCTGGACGCTGCAGGCGCCAGGTGCACGTGCGGCGCTACTGTCTTTTCGTCCTGCCGCGCGGCCGTCCCCCTGCGGCTGAAGGCTCTGAGGGAGGGGAAGTGCACGTGCTGGCGAGCAGTTCGGTGCCGTAGAGGGAGGGCCCCTTGCCCTCTCTCGCCGCCCCGTCGTGGATCCTGCGGGGACTCCCCGTCGATCCTGGTGAAGGCCGCTTGTTCGGCTGCAGTGATTATGCAAGTGGGAGCCTGCCAAGGACAGGAGTGGCGGATGCTGGGGCGTTGTTCTTTCGGTTCGCGGTGGCTCGGTCCGACGACTCCAGCGCAGACCCGCTCGACGAGAGCGACCTGGACGGCTTCGGCTTTTAGCAGTCACTGCAGGTCATGGTCACGGCAGTTCCCATCGTTGTTGTCATGCCGTACCCGGTCGTCGAGCCGTTCGGCCTGGTCTTCCTGGAGTTCGTGTTCGTCGGAGTGGTCAGAGGTGATAGCGCCGAGGCCAAAAACAATCCCCCCCCTTTCTCATGCGTTTTACGAGTTGACAGCAGTTTCAAGGTTTCTCATGGCCAATGTCCCAGACATAGCGCTCTGGGAAGATGTCGGGCTGTAAGTGCGCAGCAGTTTCGTTGATTCGTGGTGTTGATTCAAGTCCGGGGAACGGTGTTCTGACGCGACTCAGGATCGTCGAGACATAGAAGTAAGGGTAGTTCGCGGCGTTGAGGTCCCAGGAATGGCGTTCCAGCACGGTCCAGGATTATCAGACTCGTCGGTGAGTCTTGGGCTTTCGCTGGTCCTCCTCCTTTCTCGACGTTGAGCGGACTTTAGACCTAGATTGCAGCGTCTGTGGAAAACAACGCATGGCAGTGTGGAAAATATTATGTCGCCAGAATCCATGAATAAGCGGAATTGGAGGTGCAGAGAGAACGGAGAACAGCGGGGAGCCCGCGAGGGCAAAATAGTATTGGACCTACAGGCGTAGTCGAGGTAGTCCCCATCCCCCCGACCCGTCCCAAATCAGCGCGAATCCACGTTCCCCTCCGCGCCAAGTTGCCGCCGTGGATGTCGGGCCTGCTGCGGTGCGGCAGCGGGCGGCCTTGCCGGGAGATCCAGCGGCAAGATGATGGGCCAGTCTGCGGCCCGGGCTCGGACTGCCGCGAACGCGCAGACGTTCGCCCGACGTGTGAGGATCGGCGGAGGGGGGGGATTGATCAGGGGCGGGCTTTGTGAGAAGGCTCGGAAGTCCCCCGGTGAGAAGTTGTCCTAGCCTTCCCGAAGACGCAGAGAACTTGTCAGAAGGCGCGAGGGTTTCTGAGAAGTCCCGCCGCCTTCTGAGAAAGCCTTCTCCTTCTCACTTCCCCCTCCCTCACTCGCCGCCGAAGTTGGGGTGGGGCCGCGCCGAGGGCGTTGCAGTGCGGTGCGAGGCGTTCAGACCGGCCCTGTTGGGCCTTTGGGTCCCTGCGCGACACGCTTGGGGCGCGTGCGCCAGTGCCTACGATGAGACCATCGCTGCCGTTGTACTCTTGATAAACTCGCCTTAAGGAATTGGGGGTAGCATGCTGCTTCATCTGGTTCCGAGAGGCGGTTGGCGACGCCCAGGGCCGCGCGCGCGACCGCCCTGGAGTCGTTCCGAGAGACTTTGCGTGTCTTTGGTGCTCGTCATTGCGACGGACCTGCCGTTCAGCATGCTGCTGACGACCTTGCGGCGTCTCGTGGCGTTCGTCGTTTCCCTATCGATGGACCTGCTGAGTTTCAGCGTACGCCCGCTGATCCTGGTCCTGCTGATGTACTTCTTGAAGGGCTTGCGGAGGACCTTCTCGCTCAGCGTGACGTTCCTCTTGCCGCTCAGCCTAAGCCGAAGCCTACCGATGGTGTTTCTGACCTCATCGGTCCTGCCAGCGTTGTGCTTCTGGGTCGTCCTCCCGTTGTTTCAGTTGATCTTCCTGCGCCTGTGGTTCAACCTGAGCGTGCCTATGCGCGAGTTCGCCCTGATGCCGGACCTAGTGATCCAGTTTCTCACTGACCTCCGGGGGTCTTTGCAGGCGACCCTGAGGTTCAACGTGGCGTTCTTGTTCCCGTTCGGCCTTCGCCAGTTCACCTCGTGCCTGCCGCGCCTGGGCCTGCCGAGCCAGGCGGCGATGGCCCTCTCACGCCTGCCGCTGGCCTCGAGCCCGCTCGCGTGCCTCGTGGAACTGAGCACGAAGCTCTTGATGCAGCTCGTGAATAGGAAGATGTACTCTCCGGATCAGTCCACTTGGACTCTCAGCATGGTGGGCCTGTTCTTCCAGAGGAGTGGTTGAGATGATGCGCTGAACGCGCCGCGCATGGCACTTCGCAGCCATTTGTGCGGCTAGGCCGACGGCTCGACCTTCAATCTTCAATTCCTGAGCCTGCCCCACTTTGTCGAGATTGTGTTCGACTGCGTAGCATTGCCGCCGCAAAGCGGGCGGTCAAGTGCCCCCGGTGTCGGCGGAAAGCCTTCTGGGACTCCTGAGATGGAGCTGGCCTTCGACCTTTCCCCCCTCCCGCTCCTGTGTCTTAGCGGTAGGTTCTGTGACGTATGAGGCGGGCGCTGGTGGGAGATGCGGAGGTTGAGGTCGACGATTCGCGCCGCGATTTCGTATGCGCTGCAGCTGTGGCTTGATTGAAGCCGCTGATGCCAGCTCGTTATCGGCGGCGAGTAAAGGGGGTGGGAGTGAGAAGGGGAATGCCTTCTTTCAGAAGGCGGCCGGACTTCTCTGGATCCCCCGCGCCTTCCGAGAAGTTTTTTTCGTGCCTTCGGGGAAGGCTTCGAAGATTCGGGCGGCCCGAGGCCTTCCGAGCCTTCTGAGAAGGCCCGCCCCTTCTTTCGGTAGCAAATCATGGGAGCCTGGCGTACTATCTTAATTCCATCTTTCAAGTTGATTAAGTAGCGTCGATTCGAGGCTGGGCGTCGACGAGATTGCGCCGAATTAGCGTCAGTTGGGCGTCGATTGGGCGTCGATTCAGCGTCGATTGGCGTCGACTAGCGTCGATTCTCGCAAGCACCGACAAGATGGTATGAGAGGCTCCGCCACCGAACTTTCTCCCTTTCCCCGCAGGCCTGCTGCCGACCAGGGCTGTTTTTTTGCTGGACTTTTTTTTTTTTTTTTTTTTTTTTTTTGGGGGGCAGGGAGGTAAAGGAAAACAGGTAGAGCAAAACGAACAACACAACGGAAACAAAACAAGTAACAACGTCTATGTCCAGCCCTGCCCAGGAGTTGCCACCGGACCCTTTCACTTTCCCCCCAGGCTTGCTGCCGAGCCCGCTTGTCTGTTTCGGTGCCCCTGCGCGATTTTTCGCGGCCCCTCTGGCGTCTCGGTCGGCCCCTTTCGCTTCGTGTGCCTTAGGGCCTCGCCCCTTTTTCGGAGGGCCCTCGCCTCGCTCCGCTACTCGGGCCCTCCCTCGGCCCCCTCGTCGTGCTGGAAGGGAACTGAGGCTAGACGTCAGCTCGCGCCCCGCCACCCCCCAAACATTCCTCCTCCTGCTTCTCCTCCTCCTCCTCCTCCTCCTCCTCCTCCTCCTCCCCTCCTCTAGGCTTCCTAGGAGTCCTTCTCCTCCTCCTCCGCCGCCTCCTCCTCCTCCCCTCCTCTAGGCTTCCTGGGAGTCCTCCTCCTTCCTCCTCTTCCTCCTCCTCTTCCTCCTCCTTCCTTCCTCTCCTCCTCCTCCTCCTCCTCCTCCTCCTCCTCCTCCTCCTCCTCCTCCTCCTCCTCCTCCTCCTCCTCCCCCTCCAGCGCATCAGATCGTCGGAGATTTGGGACCACTCATGGTCTTCTCGGGCAACCTCCGGGGGACCTCGTGGGCCGCTCCGAAGGTCCCTCCGCGAGCTCCGCGGGGGGCTTCGGCGCCCCGCGCCCCCCGCCGGGAGCCTTATGCCGAACAAGCCTCAGGGCACGAGGGTGTCTCCGCGCTGTCGCGGGGCCGATGCCTCTCGACCCGACGCTCCGCTCCGAGCCGATCGGGTCCGCCGATGCGGACTGCTCCCGCCCGAGGCCGGGTCCGGACACTCGGGGTGCTCGATCCCGTCGAGCACGCTGACGCCGAGCACGGAGCAGCACCACCACATCTCGCTGGGGTCCTCCTCGGCCCACTCCTGACGCGCGGGAGGCGAGCCCCGCGGCCCAGCGCAAAGGCCTGGCGCCGCGGGGGGAGGCGCGGCCTTCTCCGTCGTCGTCGCCGCGGGGTTCTGCGGGGGCTCCTGGGGTCCAGCGGGAGGGGGGCAGAGACACGGGCACAATTGGGTCGTCGCTTCCCAGGGAAGTATGGGAACATATGGGACGTGGGGGGAAGACGAACACCAGAAAGTACGAGGAGAAGTGAGGAAGCCTGGGATTTGTGTCTATTTATTCATGTGTCCCAGGGCCCCTTTACTTTCTGGGGTCCAGGCCGACCAGAGGGGAGCGGCGCAGGTGGGGTCGGTGGATCGCGCCGTATCTGATTCTGACACCCTCCTCCGTGCACCCATTTTGGCTCAAGATGGAAAAGAGATATCTTGTCCATCGACATACTATCTCATCATGGTAGCGTGAGCTGGCCACTCACTGCTGCCGACCCCACCAAGGCCTCGGCGCGCCGCGCCCGCGGGCGCCACGGCGAGCTGGCAAGAGGCTCGAGGCTGGAAGAGGGCGGCATCGGCCGCACCGAGCTCGGCAGCGGCCGAGCAACCGGCAGGGGCCGGGAGGAGTCAACCGGCAGGGGCCGGGAAGAGTGGCCGCAGGCGCGGCAAGAGGAGCGACGAGGCGATCGAGACCAGGCGCAAGCAGCTCCAGTTCAAGCACGACTTGAGGGAGACGGGCAACAAACTTCACCACCTCGCGTACATCGAGGACCACCCGTCGGAGAACTCATCGGACGCTGTTGAGAGAACGCAGAAGGAAGTCCTAGGCCGGATTACGGACCTCGAACGCACGAGGCAAGAGATAGCGGAGAGCCGGGAGGAGCTCGCCGAGAGACACGCTGTCAAACATGGACGAGCAGGTTCGGCATCAGTTCGAACTGCTGAGGCAGGAGTTCGCGGCTCAAATAGGTCAGGCAGCCGACGAGATGAGGAGGCTGGAGAACGAGAATCAGCGTCTTCAGCAGCAGGTGGCAGGAGGCCTCGCGGCAATCCCGCAGGCGATCGAGCGGATGGGCGAGCAGATCAGAGGCGCGACGAGCGCGGGTGGAGCCGTTCAAGGTCTCGTAGACACCAAGGGGATCGGCAAGCCCACGACGCTGGGCGACGACCAAGAGAAGTTCGGCGCCTGGAATCGCAAGATGGAGAACTACGTGATCGGCGTGTACGGAGAGAGTTTTCGCCCTGTTCTTCGGTGGGCAGCCGAAGCCGAACGCCCCGTGACGATCGAGGGAGCTCGGGCGGTGCACGACGGAGTTCCAGAGCTGGAGACCAAGGTCAACCAGCTGTACGCGGCGCTGATCAGCACGACGGCGGACGGCAGCGAGAGCAACGACCTCGTGACGGGCGCCCCCGACGGGAACGGTCTCGAAGCCTGGCGGAAGCTCCACCGCAGGTGGGATCCGACGACAGGCCCGAGGAAGAGGCTGATCCTGAGGTCGATCATCTCGCCTCCGAAGTGCAGCGCGGACGAGCTGGGGTCCGCCTTAGAGAAGTGGATCCAGCAGATAGGCAGGTACGAACGCCGCCAAGGAGAAGATGGTCTGGCCGAGCTGCCGGAGGATATCAAGATGGCGGCCCTCGAGATGCTCGTGCCTCAGGACATCGAGAACCACCTCGTACTCAACAAGCATCGGCTCGTAACGTTCCAGGACAGTCTGAACGAGGTAATGACGATCGTAGAGGCTCGGACCGGCGTGAAGATCAAGGAGCCATCGATCCGTGCGCGGGCGCATCATCCGGACGACATGGACGTCGGATCGTTCGGAGCCCCGAAAGGCAAAGGCAAAGGCAAGGGCAAGGACGGCAAGAGCAAAGGGAAAGGCAAGACTCAGGAGCCGAAGGGGAAGAGCAAATCGACGAACGGATCATACTCAGGCTCCCGCACATCCCCGACGGGTTCGGGCCGTGGTTCAGGGCACACGGCACCTCGAAGCACCAGCGGGCGCTTCGACGGCTACTGTCGGAACTGCGAGAGATGGGGCCACAAGGCATCCGACTGCTGGAGGAAAGAGCAGGGATCGAGTACGAGGGCTGGAACTGGATCCGCAACGGGGGCAAGCGCTGGTGGTAAAGTCGGTAGCCGCGGCGGCAAGGCCGGCGGCAAGGCGGCAGGCAGCCTGGAGGAGGAGCCTGAAGCGGAGGTCGCCGCTCTGGACATGGGCAGCTTGGACTGCCTGGAGCTCGCCAGCGGCAGCGGCCGCGGCATAGCGGCGGTCGACCTCTCCCCCTTCGCGCAGGACGACTGGATGAAGTTCAACTGGGACAGCGGTGCAGCTATCTCAGCATTCCCTCGGAGCTTCGCGCCGCCGACGGGAATGAACGGCAACGGCAGCACGTATCGTACGGCCAGTGGTGAGCTCGTCCCGGACGAGGGCAGCTTGCAGCTCAAGGCGGAGGACGAGTACGGAGTGCTACGAGCACTCAAGGGACGCGCGACGAACGTGCACAAGCCGTTGATCTCGGTGGGGCAGGCAGCAGGAGCTGGACAGTGTTCATTCCTGGGTCGCAATGGCGGCTGGATATTCCACGAGAAGAGCCCAATCGGCAAGCGCGTGGTAGGCATGCTCGAGAAGGAGGCGAAGGCGGCGAAGCACCAGATGCTGCCGGTCTATCGCGAGCAGGGCGTCTACAACTTCTACCTCAAGAAGGGCCAACATGGCTCGGTTGCTCCTCTCGAGGAGGGACTTTCGGCGAAGTCGAAGTCCGAGCTAGTGGAGCTCCTCAGCGGCAAGTCGAAGGAGGAGCTGCTGGAGATCCTCGAGAAGACAGTCCCCAGGAGGCAGCCCTCGGCGTAAGCCCACTGGAGGACTTAATACCACGGCCCCCGGCGGCATCGGCTGCGGGGGCGGCAGCGGCGGGGTCGGGGCCTTCCGACGTGAGACCGCCGGGTTTTCAGCCAGCGGCAGCTGCTGCGGCCGACGCTTTGCCAGCTGCTCCTGATGGACAGCAGGCCGACGAGGGCGAGGAGGAGGCTCGCCCGAGAGTGCTGAAGGCACCTCATGAGCCCTCTCAGAGGGAGATCGACGAACACGAGGCGATGGGACACGCGACTTATCGCAGCTGGTGTCGCGTGTGTATTGCGGCAAAGGGCCAAGGCCAGCCGCATCTCCGCGCACCGGAGGACGACGAGACGGCGGTGCCGGTGGTCTCGTCCGACTACGCCTTCATGGGCCAGGACGACGCGGACACCATGCCGATGCTGGTACTTAGGGATCGGCGCTCGAAGATGATGGCAGCGACATTCGTGGAGAAGAAGGGCGACGACGCCTACGCCATCAAGTTCTTCGCACGCTTCTTGCGGATCCTGGGCTACAGGAAGATCGTCAACAAGTCCGACGGCGAGCCGGCGATCCTGTTGGTCAAGAGGCGTGCGGTGGAGGAGGTTCCTGGCCTCGAGGCCATTCCCCAGGAGTCGGCACCGGCCGATCATCAGGCCAATGGGGAGATCGAGGTCACGGTGCGCGAGATTAAGAAGCAGGTGCGGGCGCTCAAGATGGACCTGGAG